TTTAAACACTCTGCTTCTGCTGCATTTGTCTCAAAGCCCCTCCATCTTTCTGAACCTTGGTCTTTCCATCTGTCAAAAGAGTAAGTGCTTTTATGCTTACCCGTTTGGGAGCTAGAGGGTTTTGAAGGAGAATATAGTTTTCAAATTATAGATCTGGAAATAGGACAGATATGAGTTTAATTCCTGACTGTCGTTACCTATGCATATGATTTGGGGCAGGTTATTTAACTTCTCTGTACCTCAGTTTCCTCTTGTGTAAACCAGCATCAAAAATTGTACATAAATACTGTATGATATCACTTATATGTGAAATCTAGAACCCATACAGATGGATCTATATACAGAAAAGAAACAGACTCACAGATATAGAAAACAAACTTATGGTTATGAAAGGGGAGAGGGAGGGAAGCAAGGACATATAAGAGTATGAGGTTAACAGATACAAACCACTATATATAAAATAAATCAGCAATAAGGATTTAGTATATAGCACAGGGAATTATGAGGTGGGAATGGCAACCCACTCAATATTCTTACCTGGAGAATCCCATGGACAGAGGAGCCTGGTGGACTGCAGTCCACAGGGTCGCAAAGAGTCAGACATGACTGAAGCGACTTCACACAAGCTCACAGGGAGTTTATACTCAATATAATAACCTATACTAGAATATAATCTGAAAAGATAACTGAATCATTTTGCTGTACGCTTGAAAAAAGTACCTATATCTTATATATATGGACCTATATCATAGTTACGGTAAATGTTAAAGGAAATGAAAATTCTGAGCACAAGGCTTGGAGCATAACATATGCTTAGTAGAGAGTTTTGTGTTGAGGAGCCAAGGGAAAATCGTGATGGAGCTGTTAGTGGTCCTGTGATGATGATATGGTGATGGTGCCATTGATGATGATGGTGGGAGTGGGGCTGCTATGGTGAAGATGATGGTGCTGGTGTTACGGATGATGGTGGTGGTGATGGTCATTGCAGCCGAGAAGAAGAGACAGTCTGTTCTTCCTACGTAGCAAGGCAGGAAGGAAAGCTGTCTTACAAAGCCTAGTCTGAAAGGGCTCTGACTGGCATCAAGAGGAGCAAGGCTGACCTCTGTGGGGACCCATCTGGGATCTCCCAGCACACTAGGTGTAAACAGCCTAGTCTTTCCTTCAGCTCCTGCTGCCTCTCCCCTTTCCCAGTCCTTCTGGCAGACAGAGGGGCCCTGTCGGGAGACAGGTGGGGCGTGCAGCCCTGAGGAATAGTGGAAAATCCAGAAGACTTGGAAACATAAATAGGCTCATGCAGATAGTATAAAAGTCCTTTTTCTGAACTCACGTCAGGTAAACCTCAACTGACAGAAACTTGTACAACCACACCGAGACACTCCCACGGATGGATTAAATTAGGGCTCAAATAAACAGGGTGGGGGGTGGGCATCGAATCCCTTGTGGAGCCTGACCCTGCTGTTTTCTACTACTTGAGTTCAGTTCAGTCGCTCAGTCGTGTCCAACTCTTTGCACTTATTTTTTCGAATGTTGAACCGTAGCCTAAATGCCCCTCCAACATCCCTGCATGTTGGCCGGGAACAGACACTCAGACCCAGGGATGGAAGTCTGGTTAAAACTTGCCAGATGATGAAAGCAGGTGGTCCCCTCCACTTCTGGCCCCCAGGGTTAGGAAGCAGAGGGGTGAGAAAGTAGCTGAGCTGGAAGGAAGGGACTAGACTTCTCACATTCCTTCACTGGATCAACATGCATTTGTTTGCTGTGCTCCATCCTGAACCTCGGGGGTGGGGATGGGGGCAGGCAGAGATGTCTAACACCAGGGCCTACCCTCTTACTCACAACTGTTACTCCTGGATAAACCATTTCCACATACTTTCTCTTAATGTATCTTCACAACAAGCCTGTGACATTTTCAGGACCCATTTTGCAGATAGGAAAACCTAACCTCAGAGTGGAAATTTTAAGCCAGAAGTGCAACCATATCTGTCATGCCTCAGTGCTCAACCTTTCCCACACATCACCTTGTGTTTTAGGAGAAGGCAGACAGTGTCAACAGAGGCAGGAGGGGCTAAAGAGTAGATTTCACATTGTGAGACTGTGGTTGGCAGACCCTACGTTAGGTTGTTTGTCCAAGATCTGTAATTAACTCAGTGTACACTAAACTGGTCCTCTAAGCTAGACAGTCTGCTGGGCTTTGCAAATGCTTTTCTGCTGCTGTGGAGGAAAAAGTGACAGTATTAGTTGCTCAGCCATGTCCGACTCTTTGCAACCATATGGACTGGAGCCCACTAGGCTCCTTTGTTCATGGAATTCTCCAGAGAATACTGGAGTGGGTAGCCATTCTCTTCTCCATGGGGTCTTCCCGACCCCAGGATCAAACTTGTGTCTCCCACATTGAAGACAGATTCTTTACTGTCTGAGCCACCGGAGGAGCCCAGGAAGACAAGTGTCCCTTGGTAAAATCATCTCTATTTTGAGATGGATCCATTCATAAATAACGTAAATATTGACTGATCATCCTCCATGTAGTAGGCACCATTCTAGGCATAGAAGACCCAGGGTGAACCAGAGAAATGGGGCAGAGAAGCAAGGCACCCAGTCCAACCTCAGCCAAATCCTGGAATCACGTGATTCCACGCTCACCAGGAAACCTAATCACAGCTTTGCTCCCATATAGGTCTGCCCTCGGGGAGAGAATGGGCTGGTCACATGGATTTTCCACAGTCTGACCCTTGTGACTGTTCATTTCTTAATTAAAATTAATCAACTGGCACTCTGCTTAGCCCTGACCATGGAGGCTTCAGTGGCTTCTCCCTGATGCATGTCCCTTCTACCTGTCATGGGCAAGCTAAGCATTTGCCTCCAGGTTATTTTGATTAATTTTTTTTAAATAAATCATTGTGGGACCTCCCTGGCGTCCCATGGTTAAGACTCTGTGCTTCCAATACAGGAGGCATAAATATGATCTATATTCAGAAAGCTAAGATCCCAGATGCTGCATGCCATGGCTAAAAGATTAAAAATAGATAAATAGACAAACAAATCACTCATTGTAATCTGGCATGAAAAGTAGGGCATCTATGGCAGAATAGAAAAGGGAGCTTCTGGGATTGCTACCTTAGCCCCAGTCCTGATGCTGTTTTATTTTCCTAGTTTTGTTTCTCTTTCTTTTTTCACCTCCTTAAGAAAATTACTGTGTTGGATTTTATGTTATGAGTCACCTTAAATCATTCCTAAAAAATATGCTTAGTTTCATATGTTGGTTTCTTCACTTAACAGCTGTGGAGCTTGGGGAATTTCTTCTCCTTGTGACACAAGATTAATGCCCACCCCCACGCCCTGCATGGTGGTGAGAAATAAATAAGAGAATGAATAAAGTAAATAGCACCATAAGTGCACTCAATACATTTGTATTATAATAATAGTTTTATTAAGGATAGCTACAAGTAAATGTATATACATATACTTAAGTTCTGCCTGATGGGATTGGGGAAATCATCTCAAAAGAAGGTAGTCTTTTTTTTTTTAATTCTAAATTTATATGCTACTTATTTATTTTATTGGAAGAGAAAGAGGTGACAGAGAATGAGATGGTTTGATGGCATCACCGATTCAGTGGACTTGAGTTTGAGCAAATTCCAGGAGATAATGAAGGACAGTGAAGCTTGGCATGCTGTAGTCCATGGGGTTGCGAAGGGTTAGACACAACTTAGCCACTAAACAACAGCGTAGTTAATTTACAATGTGTTAGTTTCAGATGTACAGCAAAGTGAGTAAGTTACACATACATCCACTTCCCAGGTGGTGCTAATGGTAAAGAACCCTCCTGCCAACGTAAGAAACATAAGAGATGCAGGCTCTATCCCTGGGTCGGGAAGATCCCCTGGAGGAGGGCATGGCAGCCCTCTCCAGTATTCTTGATTGGAGAATTCCATGGACAGAGGAGCCTGGTGGGCTACAGTCCATAGGGTCGCAAAGAATCGACCACGACTGAAGTGACTTGGTACACCCAGCACTCTTCTTTAGATACTTTCCCCATACAGGCCATTACAGAGTATCGAGGAAGGTAGTCTTGTGCAGAAACATAAAAGATAACTAAAGATTCTCCAGGTGACAAGATGAGGAAGGGCCTGCCGTGGAAGGGAGCAGCAGGGCCAAAGTCACAGAGACAGGAATGTGGGCGGCCTCGGGAATGGTGGTGGAGGCGGTTTAGTCGCTAAGTCGTGTCCGACTCTTGCAACCCCAGATGGAGAGCTGGCCTGTATGGCGGCAGGAGGTGGAAGCAGAAAGGGTTTTCTGCCTGTCCAGGGGTCCAAACCAAAGGTGCATTCCTGCATCCTCCAGCCCACCACTCTCAAACTGTAGTGTGTATCAGAATCATCTGGGAAAGCTTGTTTTTAAAACACAAGAGTCCCAAGTCCTGGCTTCAGGGACTCAGACCCCCTAGGCCCAAGGCAGTGCTGAAGAATCTGCCGTTTCAGCGTGCTCCTGTGTGATGGTGATTAGGGTGGTCCTCAGCGCCAACTTGGGGCAGCCCTGTTCCATGCCTTGCTCCATCTCCTGCTGCAGCCACACACTTGGACATGCATGTGCTCTCATGTGTGCAAGCGCACGCATGCACGTGCACACACACACTCTCTCTCTACCCTTCCTCCTTCCTCCCGCCTGATCCCCGACTCTGTCCACGGGGCAAACCCCAGCCAGGAATTTCCTGAAGTGCCTTTCCGATCCCGTCCCCGTCCTGCAGGCCTGCGTCTCCTCCTCTCGTATTCCTGCCAGAGAAATACAGAATCACGACCCCTACAGTGAACACAAACATTGTTTTCATCTTGTGGCTCCAGTTCAGGCAGGTACCTGGGCAAATTCTCCATGTAAATGCCAGGGTGAGGTCAGAACTCAGAAGATCCAAGAAGGGATCAGGGGCGTTGAACGCGGTTCCGTTGAAGCGATGGCTCCCTCGCAGCCGCAAACCCGTCTGAACCTCTTTCTCCCTCTCTCTGCAGAGAGTGGTCTGCACGGCTGGTCTCAAGTGGTATCCTCACCCTGCCCTGATTCACTGCGTCAAAGGTTGTGAGGTGAGTTTCTCAGAATGGTCCCACCATGGTTGTCCCTCTTATTGTTACTCATGGTAACATTTCCGGTGCCTGCTAAATGCTTTAGATACCCCTTTAACAGACTTCTTGGGTGGGAGTCAGCCGTCCTGGCTTACAGCTCATGAAACTGATGCACAGAGATGGCGACACACATTCAGACACACGTCGAGTGGCTCACAGTCAGGATTCCAGACTGGGTGTTTCTGGCTCCATGGAATATTGCCTCTGAAAGGGAGACAGGGAGTGAACGAGTCCATATTGATTTAGTGGCTGTAATACGCCAGACATTTTACCAGCATGGACTCACTTAACTTTTCAGAACCACATGAGGCAGGTTTCTTTTTTTTTGAATTTCTACTTTTTCTGACACCATTAGCTGCAGATCACTTCCTTCTGCCCCACGTCTTTGTCATTCATGTGTTTATCAACTCCAAAGGAGATAGGGACACCTTATCCCAACCGCTTAGAGCTGGAGGCAGAACAGCTCCTCTGACCCTTCAGTGGAGCCAATCCCTGGAACTTGGCATTTTGGCGCTCTGTCCCTGGGTATCAGTGATAAGCTTGGGGAGGGGCAGGGCCAGGGTACTTGGCCTGTCACCTGTGTTCTCAAGGGGGTGCTGTCCTTGGAGGTCAGAGACATTCTGTGCACCTCTGTGCCCACCTGAGTCTTTTCAGCTGGCATCAAAAGGAAGCCCCAGATCCTGTCCAAGTGGATGTCCACATCTCTGTGGTCCCCTCAGACCCCTCTCAGGAAAAGCCAGGTGAAAAGGACTAGACTGCTCTAGAAAACTTTCTATTTGATGGAATTCTTAAAATGTCACAACCAGAATGCTCTTCTAAGTGATGGGGAGACTGAGACCAAGCTAGCAGCCAGGTCTAACGTTTGATGGAATGCCAAACTGGAACGGCTCTTAATGTGATCTAGCCTCCTCGTCTGTTGGGTAGACTGGAAGAGGGCTAGAGGGGGATGGATCAGCCCAAGGTTGCGTAGCATAACAGACATAGAGCTAAAGCATGAACCCAGGTCTCCTGGCTTCCAGGCCTGTGAATTTTCTCCTCCACCGGCCACTCCTGCTCACAGACCACCCCCTGGCCTGTCAGGATCACAGGCCAGTCCCCGGGTTGTATTTCTTTCTGTATGGGCTAGGGACCTCCTGTGGCATCTTCTTAGGGCACAGGACACTGTAGTTTTTAAGAACTCCCCTTCTCCCAAGATTCAGCAGAAATGGCAAAACCAAAGCCAAGGACCCAAGACAGCAGCATCCTGCCATCTCTCTGGATCGGTCCAGCATTTCAGAAACAGGAAGCTTGGGTTACCTGGGCATGCCTTCTGCTGAGTCGGCAGTTGGGGCGACCAGTGTGACAGCAGAATTCGATCCCTCCTTTGACTCAGCACTAAGGCCTCGGAGACCCTCACCTGCCTGGCTCTCAGCTCTGCCAAGTGATGCTTATCACCTCTGCCCTTGCAGGCGCCCCCTTGTCTCCTTGCCTTCTAATAGCTTGTCTCTTATCTGGGCTGGAAAGTATGCTTAGAAAAGGCACAAATGCTGGGTCCTGGGAGGAGCTATCATCCTGGAATATCTACAGTAGCCGAGATTGATAAAGGATTTGGGAACCTTGAGCCCCCTCCCCTCTGCCCCAAGCTGTGTCTAAATTAGTAATTTAATTGCTTGTCTATCAGAGCTTCACTGGGGGCCTATTCTGCGCCCAGCACTGGTCTACGTTCCAAGAGTGCAATGGTTTTAGTCAAGTGAGAACAGTAACTATGCTGTCTTGACTCATCTAGATATCTTCTTAACCTTTCATCCATCCATCCGTCCACCCTTTTACTGATCATTTTACAAGATAAACATTTAAGGAAAATGTATTTGATAAAGGTTTGCTCAAATTGCCAGCATTTTGCTAGGAAATCTAAGATATAAAAATTTGGATGACATACATCCCCTGTCCGTAAGGAACTCACAGTATAGTAAAAGAGATAGTTTGAAGAGTTCTAAACTGATACACCAAGAGCTATAAGCCAAGCAGGTGCAGGAAGCTTCAGAAGCACACGGAATCCCAGGGTTATAGGGAAGGCATTTTGGAAGGGTGATGTTTGAGCTCTATCTTGAAGGATGACTTGTTTTCTGGAACACACTGTTAGTAGAAGTAGCAGCATGAGAGACACCAGAGAGAGAAGCAACCTCCAAGTTGTAGAGCTTCTCACATGTGATTCTCTCTCTATAGAAAGTCTCCCGTCTCCACCCCCTGATTAATTTCCACCATCTGATTAACTCCTACTCATCTTATGATCTCAGCTGAAACAATCATTTCCACGGAGACCCCTTCATGGACTTCTCTGATTAGGTCAGACCTTCCTGCTCTTAATTCTAAGAGCATCAGGTACCTTTCCTCCCAAGTTCTTATCAAAGTTAAAATCAGCAATTAGATAAGTGATCCTCACTACAATGTAAGACCTAGAGGAGGAGGAGCTCTATTGGGTTGGCCAAAAAGTTCATTCAGGTTAGTCTTTAACCTTTTAGGGAAAATCCGAACAATGTTTTGGCCAACCCAATACATTGACTCATTATTACATTCCACCCCCCCTTTTTTTAAGCACAATGTGTGACACATAGGCGTTCAACAGACAGGATTGAATAGAAGATGAATGGATAGATGGGTGGGTGGGTGGATATAGCTGCAGGAAAGGTCACACAGAAGAGAGTAGCTAGTGATGAGACTAGAGATACTTTTCAGTGGCCCAATAAAAAAAAGAAACACTTTTATTTTACTTTTATTTTTCTTCCTCCTCTTCTTCTCCAGCTACTCCTTTATCAAGCCAGTTCTTTTTATTTTAGGAAAGGGACATTTGGTTTCTGTGATTAGTCCTTTCTATATTGATATGAGAAAGAACATAGGAAAGAGAGCCCCCAGACAGATCTCCTAAGGCTCAGAAAAGAGCAAAGGGCTTAACCTTTGTGGCCGCTGCCTCTCTGCTCCAATACGAATGTGGTTACTGTGTCCGTTACGGCAGTCACAGGCAGAGTCCCACCTGCGTTCACAGCCTTGTGTGTGTGCACACGCCGTTGGGCACAGTTCTCTCTGCTCTTGGCTCTGTCTTGCTAAGAGCTTTTTTAGACCCTAGTAGGGTGGTGATGAAATGGAATCGGGCCTCAAGAGTTGGTGGCACGAAGACTGTGTGAATCTGGAGCACAGACGCAAGAGACAAGGATGCCACACAGGCTGGCCTCCTTGTGAATTTGGGTCTCCCCAGAGCAAGCCCACAGAAGTCAGGGCGGGAGGGAGAGACTGCTGGGTCACAGAGGTGGTGCTGAGAGGCAGGGGTCTTAGCCAGCTGTGGACATCTTCTTTCTCATCAACAAGTCACTGAGCATCAGAGACCCCCAAGCTGAACTTTAATCAGAGAAGTTTCACTTTGATCTCCTTTCTGTATTAGAGGGTTACACAGGATTACCTCTGATGAGGGGAGGGGTATGTTCATTGCTTTGAGAAAACAGTGGTCTAATCCTGCCTCTTTATTTTACCACTGGGAGCCCTGAGGCCCAGAGACAATAAGCCACTTATTCAAAATGACCGAGTAGCCAAGCAGGTTAGACAGTATGCTAAGTGTTCAGGTGGGAAATGCAAGTGCTAGGGGTTGCAGAGACCCCTGCCTCTGCCCTAAACTGACTCTGGGTTCAGATCAGTAATAACTCTACCATCTTTTCATCATCTTTCAAGCATCACTGAGTTGGAGAAACACGGGGAAGAAAAGAGAGAAATCGGCATATTCTAGATATAACCTGGAAGGGTAAAGAATGAGGTGTCAGCTTAGATTGAAATCTCTTCTCCGCCTCTGCCAGTGTGCTTGTGTCCAAGTCCCTTTCTCGCTCTGAGCTCCAAGGTCTTAATGTGTAAAGTGGGAAGAGCAATGCCTACCTCACGTGTTTTTTTTTGAGAACAAAAGGAAAACAAACATGGAAGGTGTGTGACGTTCAGTATATCTATACTGTCATGTTAGAGGAGAAAGTGTCCGCAATCACACACCAACTGTTGTGCCAAATTTCTATGAATTCTTACGTTCAGTCTCTATAGTTCTTTGTTAGTTTACATTCAGCTTCCCAGTGTATTTGCATATATGTTTTAATATGCATATATTGTAAATTATGGTTGTATATATCTACTACCAGGAAAGTAGGGGGAGGGGTTAGGTTTTCTTATTTCTCCAAGTGAAAGGAGCCCTGTGCTTCAGGAAGACCTAGTGCTTTTGCATACCCAGCATATAAGTGTGTGTCTCCTAGCATAACTGTGGCTGAGTGGGGAGAAAATCTTGGCTAGTTAAGAGTCTTTAAAAATGGCAGACATGATGATTTGTCCAAAAGGGTGTAGGGATTTGAAGCCAGGTAGGCTGACTCAGAGGTTTGTGAGAAGAAGAGAGACAGCTGAATATTTAGAGAAGCCAGTCGCTGCTCACTCCAGGATGCTCATCAGGCCTCCCTTCTTCCTGCCTCTCTCCTCACGTACAGCCCTTCATGGGAGACAATTACTGCGATGCCATCAACAACCGAGCCTTCTGCAACTATGACGGTGGAGATTGTTGCGCTTCTACAGTGAAGACCAAAAAGGTAGGTAGGCCAGTGCGCCCCCTCTGCGGCCGTCTCCAACTCACTGGCCCAGGATCGACCCTGGGTGTTGGACAGCCCATTGACCTGGCTGTGTCAGCATTCCCCTACGAGTTTCATTGTGTTCTATGGCATTGTATTTTTCATTCTTTTATTCAGTGGTGGTGGTGGTTTAGGCGCTAAGTCAGGTCTGACTCTTGTGACCCCATGCACTATAGCCCCTCCAGGCTCTTCTGTCCATGGGATTCTCCAGGCAAGAATACTGGAGTGGGTTGCCATTTCCTTCTCCATGTTACTCAGTAGTTGAGCTCATATCATGTGCTGAGCCCTGAACTAGGTGTAGAGGTTCATGGATGATCTTTGTAGATGAGGTCACTTAACCTCAACGTTTAGAGTCTGATATGGAAGCTGGCAAGTTGAAGAGCAATGCTTTTTGAAGGAAAGGACAGAATTCTCTGAGGACCCAGGCAAAGGGTTGGAGAAGACTCTGTGGAGGGATCTTCATCAACGCACACAACTGAGGGATGAGAAGGGGCAGGGAGGTGGCCAGGAGAAGTGTCTGGGGCAGGAGGCTGGCATGTGAAATCCTAGAGAGCACACACGTTTAGGGAGTATGGCTAAAGCCTAGGGGAAGATGGAAGATGAGACGTCCCTGACAAGGTAAGTTATGCTCTTTAAGCATTTAATAATGTCTTTCATTGTTCACACCTGGAAAATCAGTGGGTGTGGTCTCGGTCACCATTTTCTTCCTTAGCATATTAGGATGTCGCGGAGGTGATTCAAGTATTTATGGTAAAACTGGAGCATCCAGTTAAGATGCGGTGGCACCCCCCCCACAGAGGAGTGGCCACCTCCACTTTCCTCCTGGTGAGAGCTGGAGCCAGAGTTTGGTGCCTGGGCCAAGAGTTGGGAAAGAGGTGACCAGTCTGGCCCAGTGTGAGTTAAAAAAGTACTCCTGTGATGATTGAGTTCATCGGGCACAGTTTCTATTTTCATGCACATCTATATTCTAAGCTGGAAAATCATTTGACCTTCTCTCTCATTTTAAAGAGGAGAAACTGTTCTTGAGGTGGGCGGGGAGTGCACAGACTCATGGTCATTTCGGCTACAGAACCCTCTGTGATGACGTGGTCCAGACTTTGCATTGCCTTAATGGGGGTTCTGAGACCCATCAAGGAGGGATGATTTGTCCAAGGAAGAATAGCGAGTGATAGAGCGAGGTTCCTGGCTTCTGTCCCCGCCCCTTTGTACTGCAGCGTCCTTAAGACAAATTGTTCCTTCAAGAAAAATGCTCTGATTCTAAACGAAGGGGTAAACAGGGCAAGACCCAAGAAACACTCCAATTGGAGACCTGTTACTGCATCTCTCAGTAGCTGCCAGGCTTACTGGTTGCGTTTGCTTTGCTGTATATTGTTAGTATACTTAGTATATGGTTGTGATGTACAATAATTTATGAGACTATTTCTCTCCAACTTTTGATTTTAACTTTTCGGTGATTTCATCTTCTCACAATGACAATGATGCTAATGAACATTTTTGCACAGACATATTCTATAACTGTAATTATTCATTTACAACTGATTGTTAGAATTGACATGAGCAGGATATAAGATGTGAGCATTTTTTAAATATTTTAATCTTATTGGCATATATTTGGTTTTCAGAGTTCTGTTAGTTTCAGGTGCAGAGCAAAGTGATTCAGTTATACATAAGTTTTAGATACACAGTAAAGTGACTCAGTTATACATACAGTCCTTCTTCTTTAAGATTCTTTCCTCGTATAGATTATCACGGAATACTGCAGAGAGTCCCCTCTGCTATGCAGTACAGCCTTCTTCGTTATCTGTCTTACGTATGTTAGTGTGTGTTTACCCCAAGCTCTTGCTTTATCCCTCCCGTGCCATGTATCCCTTTTGGTGACATGTTTGTTTTTGATATCTGTAAATCTGTTCCTGTTTTATGAGTAAGTTCATTGGTATCTTTTTAAAAATTAGATTCCACATATGAGTGATATCATCTTTGTCTTTCTCTGTATGACTTCACTTCTTATGGTCATCTCTGGGCCCATCCATGTTGCTGCAAATGGCATTATTTCATTCTTTTTTATGGCTGAGTAATATTCTATTATATATATATAATATATATATATATATATATATATACGTACCACATCTTCTTTATCCCTTCCTCTGTCAGTGGACAATTAGATGACTTCCATGTCTTGGCTATTGTAAAACAATGCCGCAGTGAACAGTGGAGTGGATGTTTAGTATATTCATTTTGACAATATCGATTCTTCCAATCCAGTTAGCATAGTGTAATCTTCCATCTGTGTCATAGCTGATTTCTTTCATCAGTGTCTTATAATTTTCAGAGTAGGTTTATTCAGAGGTATTTTATTATTTTTGGTGTGATGGTAATTGGGGTTGTTTCCTTAATTTCTCTTTCTGATCTTTTGTTGTTAATATATACGAATGCGAGAGATGCCTGTGCATTTATATTCTGCGACTTTACCCATTGATTGATTAGCTCTTGTATTTCTCTGGTGACAGCTTTAGGATTTTCTATACACATTATCAGGTCATCTGTAAACAGTGTCAGTTTCACATCTTTTTTTCCAATTTGGATTATTTTTATTTCTTTTCTCTGATTGCCATGGCTAGGACTTCCAAAACTATGTTGAATAAAAGTGGTAACAGTGGATTTCCTTGCCTTGTTCCTATCTTAGAGGAAATGCTTTTGGCTTTTTACCATTGAGAATGATGTTAGCTGTGGGTTTGTCTGATATAGCCTTTATTATGGTGAGTTAAATTCCCTGTATTCCCATTTTCTGGAGGGCTTTTATCATAAATAGGTGTTGAATTTTGTCTGAACCTTTGTCTGTATCTATTGAGATGATCATATGGTTTTTATTCTTGTTTGTTCATGTAGTGTATCACAGTGATTGATTTGCAGATATTGAAGAATCCTTGCATCCCCATGATCATCCCTGCTTGATCATGATGTATGATCCTTTTAATGTATGGTTGCATTTGATTTGCTAGTAGTTTTACATCTATGTTCATCAGTGATATTGGCTGGTAATTTTCTTTTTTTATGTATAGTGTATTTTGTCTGCTTTTGGTATCAGGATTATGATGGCCTCATAAAATGAGTTTGAGAGTGTTCCCTCCTCTGCAGTTTTGGAAGATTTTCAAAATGAGAAGTGTTAACTCCTCTCTAAATGTTTGATAGAGTTTCCTGTGAAGCCATCTGGTCCTGAAGTTTTGTTTGTTGGAAGTTTTTTAATCTGTGTTTAAGTTTCAGTACTTGTGATTGGTCTCTTCATATTTCCTATGTCTTCCTGATTCAGTCTTGAAAGAGTGTATCCTTTAAGAATCTTTCCATTTTTTTCCCTAGGTTGTTCAATTTATTGGTGTGTAGTTCTTCTAGTACTCTCTCGTGGTCATTTGTATGTCTATGATGTCTGTTGTAACTTCTTTTTCATTTCTAATTTTATGGATTTGAGTCCTCTCCCTTTTTTTCTTGATGAGTCTGCCTAAAGGTTTATCAATTTTGTTTATCTTCTCAAAGAATCAGCTTTATGTCTCATTGATCTTTGCTACTGTTTTCTCCATTTCCATTTCATTTATTTCTGCTCCGATCTTTCTTTCTTTCTTTCTGCTATCTTGGGATTTTGTTTGTTCCTCTTTAGTTGTTTTAGGTATAAGGCTAGGTTGCTTGTTGAAATTTTTCTTGTCTCCTGAGGTAGGACTATATTGCTATAAACTTCCCTCTTAGAAATGGTTTTGCTGCGTCCCGATGGTTTTGGATTGTTATGTTTTCATTGTCATTTGTCTCTAGGTATTTTTTTCTTGATTTCTTCAGTGATCCATTGGTTGTTTAGTAACATATTGTTTAGTCTCCATGTGTTTGTGTTTTTAAAGTTTTTCCCCCTAGTAATTGATGTCTAACTCCTAGCATTGTGGTTGGAAAAGATGTTTAATTTCAATTTTCTAAAATTTACCAAGGCTTGATTTGTGGCCCAAGATGTGATCCATCCTAGAGAATGTTTCACATGCACTTGAGAAAAAAATGTATTCTGCTGCTTTCAGATGGAATGTTCTATAAATATCAATTAAGGCCTGTGTTTCCTTCTTGATTTTCTGTCTGGATGATCTGTCCATGTATGAGAGTAGTGTTTTAAGGTCACCCATGATTAATGTGTCTATTTCTCCTTTCCTGGCTGTTAGCACTTGCCTTATATATTAAGGGGCTCCTATATTGGGTGCATATAAATGTACAATTGTTATATCTTCTTCTTGGATTGATCCCTTGATCATTATGTAGAGTTCTTCCTTGTCTCTTGTCTTTATTTTAAAGTCTGTTTTGTCTGACATGAGTGTTGCTATTCCAGCTTTCTTTTGATTTCCATTTGCATGGAATACCTTTTTCTATTCCGTCTCTTTCAGTCTGTATAGGGCCCTAGATCTGAAGTGGGTCTCTTGTAGACAGTATATACATAGGTTTTGTTTTTATATCCATTCAGACAATTTGTGTCTTTTGGTTAGACCATTTAATCTATTTACAGTTAAGGTGATTATCAATATGAATATTCTTATTGCCATTTTGTTAGTTGTTTTGGGTATTTTTGAAGGTCTTTTTTCCTCTTCTCCTGTGATTTGATGCCTATCTTTAGTAATGTGTTTGGATTGCTTTTTCTTTATTGTTTGTATCTGCTGTAGATTTTTGGTTTGTGGCTCCCATTAGATTTTGATATAGCACTCTATATATGTACCAGATTGTTTTCAGTTGCTGATCTCTCAAACACATTTCTAATATCCTGTACCTGTGCTGTCTTCTTCTCATGATCGCTGGTTTTGATATATTTGTGTGTGGATGATTTCCTAACTTTATCTTTGCCTTTACTGGTGAGTTCCCTGTTTGTAATTTTCTTGATTCTTATTGTGGCCTTTTCTTCCCTACCTAGAGAAGTTCCTTTAGGATTTGTGGTACTGAATTCT